AAACCTTGGGAAACGTGAAAGAAAACTTGCAAGTCAAGTAACGTAACTTGTAAAACAAGTTACGTTACAAAAAGCCGTAAGGTTACTTTTAAACTTGAAAACGCGATTTATTTAGATTACGTAATTTATAAACGATAAAACGTAATATAACTTGGAACGAGAAACGAGATGAAGATTGAAAGATGAGTACTTAAAATAAACCTTGAGAAAGAAATTACAACTACAAAGATCGAATCGTGAAAAGTTAACGAGAACCGAAGGCTTCGAACCGAAAGTAATATTCTTGGGAGCAACTTACAAAARATTATACATAAATCTCCCAAAAGTATTTGTGAATTAGAGAGTTGGTTACCAAGAAAAGTGTTTAAAACAAAGCCTAAGGCTTGTATTTATAGTCCAAGCAAGGTCCCAAAGTGGGTGCCAACTAATAAGACAAAAAGCCTCTTTAAAGCTGGGCTTTGACTAAGCCCAAGGGTGTTGACCAAGCCTTCTTCTTGAATTAGCCCATTAATCCACGGCCCAAGCAGTTTCCAGCTCTCGGACAGGTCCTATAGGACCTTGCCACTCCTGGTCCTATAGGACTGCTGCAGGACCGGTCCCAAAAATGCTCAAAAACCTGCGAAAACAGGGGATTAACATTAGATATATAATATAACTACTAATATATGAAAAAGATATAAAAAGACTCAATTAGGACACTAAAGGGCAAATAAAACAACGGAAAATGGTAAAGAAAATGATGTAATAAGGTTAATAAATTAACACTTATCACTTTCTTAGCCTTGAGTTCAGCGATTGCTCGGTCACGCTCAGCGACAGCTTTCTCACGTTCAACAGTGATAGCCTGGTTTACAATAACCTGATCTTTAATATTTTTCTCAACAGAGGTCAGTTCTTTGATCTTAGAATGACAAATCCTTAATTGCTCATGAAGATCAACGTTAAGCATTTCAGCTTTAGATTTTCCATTGAGGCATTGTAAAGGTCAACCGTCAGCGTATCTAGTGTAGAAAGACTAGAAGAAGGTTCATTCAGGGTACATAACTGAGTAACAAAAGATGGCTCAGAAGAGGTAGATGCTTTAGAAGAACCTTCATCAGCATCAATGGCCATCAAGCAGACATAAGCTTTATCTTCCTCRTTAGAAGATGATTCAGCCCAGTCATGCTCTTCAGCAATAAGGCCTTTAGCCTTTCGCTGGTTGTTCTTCATCTTCTTGTATTTCTCCTTCAGTTTTAAGTATTTATCATCTTTGGTCCTGAAGGAGGAAGRRRCTTTAGAAGATGGCATCGCAGTCTTCTTCGATCTGCATTCACCTGCAAAGTGTCCGGGCCGGTGACAGTTGTAGTAGACAGCTGAAACCTTGTCTATTCTTTCAGACTTTGGCTTCTCCCTGAGGGATAGTTGAGGAGATCTGTGAAAATTGCTTTTACTGGCGAACCTCCTAAATGACTTAGTCAGGAGTGCCAGGGACTCATCAAAAT